CAAAAAGCATACCTTCATGAAGCTGGAAAGTTAAATAGCCTCTGTGTCTCTGTATATATGTTGTGTGTCTATTAGGCCTGGGTAACAACGGAAAAATTTGTTTCTAAAATCGATTTGTATTTGGGGGGTTTTTTTGTTTCGATATTTAAAATAATTACAAAATTTTCCTTTTAAAAAGTTCGATATTTACGAAATTTCGTAAATGGTAAAAATTTAACGAATCGATTTCCGAAACAATAACAAATCGATTCGTTAATGGCGGACGCGACCGCGAAATACGCTAAAAAACCTCCAAAACCTTCTGAAGCTTCCCTCTCCCTCTGTTGTTGACTGTTGGTGTGATATTATAATTTTTTTTTTACTAATTAAACCATAAAACTGGCCCAGACATGCGGAAATAATAACGAAACAACCTCAAAACAATAACGAAACGAATACAATATCGAAATACGAAGCATTTACAAAACGTTTTTGAAAATTCGTTTTTTAATGGTTCGTTATCGTTTTGTAATTGAAAAAATTAACGAATTATTAACGAATTACGAATTAACGAAACGAAACTGCCCAGCCCTAGTGTCTATGGCATTGAATGTTTGCCATGTATATGTGCATTGTGATCTGCCTTGAATCCCTTGTGGGGTGAGAAGGGAGGAATATAAATACTGTAAATAAATAAACAAACAAACATTTATTTATACCCTGCTTTATCTCTCCTGAAGGGGACTCAAAGCGACTTAACATAAAAGCATTGGCATGCCGTTTAAGAATATTGTTGTTCATTCGTTCAGTCGCCTCCGACTCTTCGTGACCTCATGGACCAGCCCACGCCAGAGCTCCCTGTCGGCCGTCACCCCCAGCTCCTTCAAGGTCAGTCCAGTCACTTCAAGGATGCCATCCATCCATCTTGCCCTTGGTCGGCCCCTCTGCCTTTTGCCTTCCACTTTCCCCAGCATCATTGTCTTCTCTAGGCTTTGCTGTCTCCTCATGATGTGGCCAAAGGACTTCAACTTTGTCTCTAGTATCCTTCCCTCCAATGAGCAGCCGGGCTTTATTTCCTGGAGGATGGACTGGTTGGATCTTCTCGCAGTCCAAAGCACTCTCAGAACCTTCCTCCAACACCACAACTCAAAAGCATCTCTCTTCCTTCGCTCGGCCTTCCTTAAGGTCCAGCTCTCACATCCGTAGGTGACTACAGGGAAGACCATGGCTTTGACTAGGCAATGGATCTTTGTTGCCAGTGTGATGTCTCTACTCTTTACGATTTTATCGAGACTGGACATTGCTCTCCTCCCAAGAAGTAAGCGTCTTCTGATTTCCTGGCCACAGTCTGCATCTGCAGTCATCTTCCTAGAAATACAAAGTCTGTCACGGCCTCCACGTTTTCTCCCTCTACTTCCCAGTTGTCAATCATTCTTGTTGCCATAATCTTGGTTTTTTTGACGTTTAGCTGCAACCCAGCTTTTGCGCTTTCTTCTTTCACCTTGATTAGAAGGCTCCTCAGCTCCTCCTTGCTTTCGGCCATCAGAGTGGTGTCATCTGCATATCTGAGGTTGTTAATGTTTCTTCCAGCAATGTTCACCCCATTATACAAACAGGCAAACATTAAAACAGGATTAAATATAAACAACATTAAAACATTCCCAATGCTCTATGGGGTTGCACTCCCCCTGAAGACACAGGTCCGCAGTCTGGGGGTCTTCTTGGATTCAGCGTTGACGCTTGATGCTCAGGTGTCGGTGGTGGCTGGGAGGGCCTTTGCACAGTCTGGCTGGGTAACACCCCCGAGCGACTCCCAGGGAAGAGAATGAAATATGAGAAAATTCACTTTAAAAAACCCCCCAAAAAACAGGGAAGACAAAAAGCCTTCAATTTCTGAAGCAAAGGACAACGAAGAGTCGAAACAATCAACAGAAATCCCCAAGGAGTTAAATCCTTCACTCCCCCACCTTGTCAGTACAACTCCCTAATATCACTGTATCCAATGACACAGCAAAGAATATCCTTTAAATTCCACAGTCTAGACTGCAGATTATAATTTTAGAAGGTATTTGTGATTGTCCTGCTAAGGTGCCACGGACGGGTGGCTGTCTGTCTCGGAGAGATTGGATTAGCTCAAAGCAACCTCCCTAGAAATGAATGATGATGTGCAACTAAGCTAGCTTTGGGAAGGGGAGGTCCCATTTAATACTGGCTGAGAATAAAATTCTGGTAATGCACTTAGGAGATATGGGAAGGTGTTGTGTTGTTGTTGCCTGCACCAAAGTTGGCTTTCACTTATGGTGACCCTAGCCCAGGTGTGGGCAAACCCAGGCCTGGGGGCTGGATGCAGCTCCTTGGGCTCTTTTCTCAGGCCCTCCTCTCTCTCACCAACCTATCCTTCCTTCTTTTTTTCTTCTTTCCCTCCCTTCCTTACCTCCTTCTTTCTCCCTCCCTCCCTCCTTTCTTCCACCCTTTCATCCTTCATTCCCTCTTTCCTCTCTCCTTCCTTCCCTCTTTCTCCTTCCTTCCTTCCTTTGTCTTTCTTTCCTTCTCTTTCCTCCCTCTATTCCTTCCTTTCCTCTTTCTCCCTCCCTCCCTCCTTCCTTCCTTCCTTCCTTCCCACCCTTTAATCCTTCCTTCTCTCTTTCCTCTCCTTCTCTCTCTCCTCTTTCTCCTTCCTTCCTTTCCTTCTTCCTCTTTCTCTTTTTTTCCTTCTCTTCCCTCCCTTCATTCCTTCCCTTCCTCTTTCTCCCTGCCTCCTTACTTCCTTCCCTTCCACCCCTTCATCCTTCCCTCTTTCCTCTCTTCTTTCTCTCCCTCTTTCTCCTTCCTTCCTTTCCTCCCTCCCCTTTGTCTTTCTTTCCTTCTCTTTCCTCCCTCCCTTTCCTTCCTCTTTCTCCATCCCTCCTTCATTCCCTTCCATTTCATCCTTCCTGCTTCCCCTCTCTCTCCTCTTCTCTCCCTCTTTCTCCCTCTCCTTCCTCCCTCCCCTTTTTCTTCTTCCTCTTCTTTCCTCCCTTCCCTTCTTCCTCTTCTCTTCCTCCTTCCTTTCCTTCCCTCCCTTCCCCTTCCCTCTTTCTCGCCCCTTTTCTTTCTCTCCTCCTTCCTTCCTTTTCCTTCCTTTCCTTTATTTCCTTCTCTCCCTCCTTCCTTCCATCTTCTCCCTTCCCTCTTCCTTCCTTCCCTTCCACCCCTTCATCCTTCCCTCTTTCCTCTCCTTTCTCTCCCTCTTTCTCCTTCCTTCCTTTCCTCCCTCCCCTTTGTCTTTCTTTCCTTCTCTTTCCTCCCCTCATTCAATTCCTTGCTTTCCTCTTTCTCCCCCTCCCTCATTTCTTCCCTTCCACCCTTTCATTCTTCCTTCCTTCCCTCCTTCCCTCCCTCCCTTTCCTCTCTCCCCTTTGTCTTTCTTTCCTTCTCTTTCCTCCCTCCCTCCCTCCCCTTCCTCTTTCTCTTCCCCTCCCTCCTTCCTTCCCTTCCACCCTTTCATCCTTCCTTCGGTCCCTCTTCTTCTCTTCTTTCTCTCTCTTTCTCCTTCCTTCCCTCCTCCTTTCTTTCCTTTTCTTTCTTCCCTCCATTCCTTCCCTCTTTCTCCCTCCCTCCTTTCTTCCCTTCCACTCTTTCTTCCTTCCTTCTCTTCCTCTCTCTCCTTTTCCTTCTTTCCCTCTTTCTCTCCTCCCCTCCTCCCCTTTTCTTTCTTCCTTCTCTTTCCTCCCTCCCTATCTTCCCTCCCTCTTTCTCACTCCCTCCATTCCTATAAGAGGGTATTGTGAGAGCAGTCACTCTCATTGCAACTGTGTAGTAACGGTGAGACTGCGGACCATATTATAGTTGTTGCGGACCATTGGTGGTCCATGGACCACAGGTTGGGAACAAGTTATTTATTTATTATTTATTTACTATATTTGTATACCACTCTTTTCAGCACTCGGGTGACTCAGAGCGGTTCACAATAGTAAAATTCAATGCTTAAAGCATCATAAAACAGTTAAAAACAATCAAAACAATAGCATGACAAATAATCAATTAAACATCATATAACGTCTCATTATCATCTCATAGTTAAAATCAAGATCCAGTCTCATCATCCAATTGTTCCATATTCCTATATTCGTCACACTGCCTATTTGAATGCCTGCTCGAACAACCAGGTCTTCACTTTCCTCTGAAATGCTAACAGGGAGGGGGCCAATCCAATTTCTGAAGGAAGGGCGTTCCACAGCCAAGAGGCCACCACTGAGAAGGCCCTGTCTCTCATCCCCACCAGACGTACTTGTGATGCAGGCGGGACCGAGAGCAGGGCCTCTCCAGATGATCTTAACATCCTAGCTGGTTCATTTAGGCAAACAAAAGGCTAATGGGGGAAATAACCCCAAGCCAAATCTCCCAAATGTATCCGATAGATCTGGTGCCACATGGTCCATTCTGGCTAAACCTTCGGCTGACTACACCCAGTCCAGCTGCTGGATCACCGAATTTCCACGAATCCTGTATTGCGAAACAGAATAGTGCACACCCCTACTAGATGCAAAACATAAATGTAGGTCGTCTGCAGACTTCGGTCCCATCTCTATTTTATCTCATCATGTACCTATATGCAAATAGAGATATTCCATAATCAGAATTAAATACATTTCTGGTTCGCAAGCATATCAGATAAGGCAGACTCTTCCTGTATCACTGTGAGGAAATGGAGCTGAGGAGGAGGAAAGAGATGGCAGGGAAGAGAAACGGCACCCGGACGAAAGGTACCGACGGGAGGCGCATGTGTTTCCAATAAGTGCACTTTTCATCACTCATGAAAACGAGCATGAAAAGAAGTAAACAGTTCCCAGCCCAGTTCTGCATTCGGTATCTGATTGTAGGGCTGTCAGGCTCCCACCCCACCCCGGCTGGAGGAACGAGGATTTACAGAAATGGTTCTCATTTAAGCAAGACAGGAGTGATATGACATGGGCTGGCAGGGCTTTCGACAGCTTCCCCGGTGCCAACACCACACCCCAGGATCCCAAAACGCAGCCAAAATGGGAGCAGAGAGCCCTCAAAGCAGCATCAACGATGCAGATGTGTGCAAACCTCAAGCTGCTGAGCTGAAAGCAAGCAGTTGCTGTCCAGATGTTTGGGATTATGATTCCACCATCCTGAAACATGGTTGGTCAGTTGGTGGTAGGGGTAGAAAGCTTTTCACTCTCACAGGCAGCAATAATTTTGCCCCCCCCCCTGTGTTAAAGGACTTAAAACTTGCATGTTTCAATAAAAAATGGCAACAATAGTGGGTGGTGATTTTTTTTGCTTTTTCTGAAATTTTCTGCACAGAAATTTGTGTTTTTTTCTGCACAGAAATTTGTGTTTTTTCTGCACAGGAAATTTTCTGCACAGAAATTTGTGTTTTTTTTTCTGCACGGGAATTTTTTTGCACAGAAATTTGTGTTTTTTTCTGCACGGGAATTTTTTTGCACAGAAATTTGTGTTTTTTCTGCACGGGATTTTTTTTTGCACAGAAATTTGTGTTTTTTTTTCTGCACGGGAATTTTTTGCATAGGAAATTTTCTGCACAGAAATTTGTGTTTTTTCTGCACAGGAAATTTTCTGCACAGAAATTTGTGTTTTTTTTCTGCACGGGATTTTTTTTGCACAGAAATTTGTGTTTTTTCTGCATAGGAAATTTTCTGCACAGAAATTTGTGTTTTTTTCCTGCACAGAAATTTGTGTTTTTTTCTGCATAGGAAATTTTCTGCACAGAAATTTGTGTGTTCTTTTTCCTGCACAGAAAATATTGTTAATCCCACAAACGAACATTACATTTTTATTTATATAGATGTTGTGTTGACTTTAAGTGCTTACAAACACATGCAAAATGTGCCCAAGAGACAAAGTCAACACAACATCTATATAAATAAAAATGTAATGTTCCTTTGTGGGATTAACATAACTCATAAACCACTGGGCGGATTGACACCAAATTTGGACAGCATGCACCTAACAACCCAATGTATGTCCTTCACTCAAAAAAATGATTTTGTCTTCTGGGAGTTGTAGTTGATGGGATTTATAATTCACCTACAATCAAAGAGCATTCTGAACTCCACCAATGATGGCATTGAACCAAACTTGGCTCACATTACATTTTTATTTAGATTGATAGATAGATAGATAGATAGATAGATAGACAGACAAACAGACGGACAGATAGCATAGTGAAGGATTAACACCCCTGTGGTGTTTGTTGTGCTGTCTGTGCAGAAGATTTTGCCTCACTTTGGCTTGATGTGGAAACACGGATTGGGGCAAGGGATACCCCCTTTCCCCATGATTATAACTCTTCCAATAGTGAATTTCCCTTCCAAAAAGGAGATTTCTCTCACTTCCTGTTGTCTCACTCCCGTTCTTAACTAGGAGCTGTTTGTAAGTTGGTTGTTTGTGTTTTCTGAGCCTGAGTTTACTCCTGACAAGGAGAATGATGGGTTGTAGATTTCTGAACATGTCCCTGTTATTGAGGCAGACAGTGTTGATTCTGAAGAAGGGATGGCATTTCTGTTTCCCAGTGAAAGGAATGTTGTTTTAGATAGTGAAACTTCACAGCTGCAGGTGGAAGAGTCGGCTCCATCTGGGAGTTCAGTGCCTCTCGGTTCCCAGGATGACCAGTCCCAGGATAATGAGTTATCTGGTCATGAAGATGGTGGAGATTTTATTAGGGAGGACCATTTGCAATTAAGGGCTCACCGAAGTGAGCGGCTTGCCAACAAATGGAAATTCGAGGTCAATGTAATAATAATAATAATAATAATAATAATAATAATAATAAACCTTTATTTGTACCCCGCTACCATCTCCCGAAGGACTCGGTGCAGCTTACAAGAGGCCGAGCCCAAATACAATAGTAAAAACAATAACAACAACAACAGCAAAATAACTCAAAAAACAAAGCAATAACATTGACAACACACAATGACACAATTAAAAACAATGGCAGGGCCAAATGTAACAATTAAAATTAAAAGTGCTGGGCATGACCAGGTGGAGTGTTTGGAGGGGGATGGGCATGCAGATATCCTAGTTGTCTGATAAAGTGCATTGGGACATAATGCTAGGAGTTTTCTATTCTGGGAAGGCACACTGGAACAACCACGTTTTCAAGCTCCTCCTAAAGATTGCTAGCGACGGGGCCTGCTTGATGTCTTTGGGGAGAGAGTTCCAGAGTCGAGGGGTCACCACAGAGAAAGCCCTATCCCACGTCCCCACCAATCGCGCTTGTGATGCAGGTGGGATTGTGAGCAGGGCCTCTCCAGATGAACGAAGAGATCATGTGAGTTCGTACACAGAGATGAGGTCATGCAGGTAGGCGGGTCCCAAACCATTTAGAGCTTTGTAGGTAAGCACCTGCACCTTGAATTGGGACCGGAAAATTAAAGGCAGCCAGTGGAGCTCCTTAAACGGGAGGGTTGACCGCTCCCTGTAAGGAGCACCAGTTAGCAACCTGGCCGTCACCCGTTGAACCAATTGAAATTTCTGGGCCGTTTTCAAGGGCAGCCCCACTTATGCTTTCATGCAAGGGAAACGTATTTAACGATCCGATTGAAGTCTATCCTTTGTCAGTGCAATGTTGCTTATACTCTGTTAACTCCTCTGAAATTACCTCGGCTTTTGGGGAAAGCTTCGGTTTTTTATTTTTGGGGACGTTGTCATGCTGTCATGGATTCTTGTTTAACCAATGCTAAAGGATTATACTTCATGTTATTTGCCTTTGGATTTTGGAAACTTTGCCTTTGCATTTAAGACTGTCTCCTGAAGACAGAAAAAGGCAAAACCGAGCTTAAGAAAATATCGGAAATCAAAAAGGACTTCATAAATTTTTCCTGGTACCAGGACAGACAAACAAGAGAATTCTTCAAAGAAGATGGAAAACTAGGCTTTGCAGACTCAAACTCCTTTTGGGACAAGATAATGCAATCAAACAATAAAGTGATAACCAAGATATACAAAAAACTACTGGAATGGGAAACTGAACCGGAACAAATAAAAGAATGTATGATCACGTGGGCCAAGAACATAGGGCACCCAATAAAACTAGAACAATGGGAAAGACTATGGAACCAAAAAATCAAATACTCTTACGCTGTCGAGCTAAAAGAGAACTGGATGAAAATGATATACAGGTGGTATCTAACACCTCATAAAATAGCTAAATGTTACAAAAATGCATCCGACAAATGTTGGAAGTGCGGTCTACAACCAGGAACCTTCTTCCACACCTGGTGGTCATGCCCGGAAGTAAATAAATACTGGTCGGAAATTCACAAGGAGATTCAAAAAATACTAAAAATTAAGATAACAAAAAAACCAGAATTCTATCTACTAGGAATGTTGGACATAAACGAAGATAAGGACAAGGACATTCTCTTTAATTACTTAATTTCAGCAGCAAGAATCGTCTTCGCCAGAATATGGAGGCAGAAAGAAATTCCGAAAAAAGAGGATTGGCTAACCAAAGTACTAGAGATAATGAATATGGACCAACTCACTTACTGGATTACTCCAAACAAAGGGCTCCCAAAGAAACACACAAATTGGAACCTTGTCAAAGAATATCTTAATGAATTAAAACTCAACTTGATAATTTAAGCAAAACGCAGCACGCAGAAGACTCGACAACACAGGGATGTGTAATTAAATCATCTAACAAAAACCTCCGTTGGAGGACAAGGGATATTAATATCACAACCACTAATGAATAGATAGGAAGTCAACTCCCCCCCCCCCCCATGTTATTACTATTTCATTTTTACTTTTTTTTTACTTTTCTCCCCCCCCCCCCCCCCCCCAAGCCAGAAGCTGCTTTGAACAACCAAAGCCGGGAAGACAACCAGGCAGGGCATTCTCTTAGATACCTGTACTATCTTTCCAGCCTTTTCTATAAGACAATTGTTCCCACTCTTTCAATGTACCAATCTCTAAACCTATGAGGAGGAAGAAAAAGGGAACATTAATTCAACCTGTGGTTGCTGATCCAACATAGGTCCAGTATGCTGTTTTTTTTTCTTTTTTTTCTTTTTTTTTCTTCTCTCCCTTTTCGGCCCTCCCCATCCCTGCCCCCCTCCTACCTCGACCCTAGGCCTGGGCGGTTTCGTTTCGTTAATTCGTAATTCGTTAATAATTCGTTAATTTTTCCAATTACAAAACGATAATGAACCATTCTGGAGCAATTTAAAAAAACGAATTTTCAAAAACGTTTTGTAAATGCTTCGTATTTCGATATTGTATTCGTTTCGTTATTGTTTTGAGGTCGTTTCGTTATTATTTCCGCATGTCTGGGCCATTTTTATGGTTTAATTAGTGAAAAAAAATTATAATATCACACCAACAGTCAACAACAGAGGGAGAGGGAAGCTTCAGAAGTTTTTGGAGGTTTTTTAGCGTATTTCGCGGTCGCGTCCGCCATTAACGAATCGATTCGTATTCGTTTCGGAAAGCGATTCGTTAATTTTTTTACCATTTACGAAATTTCGTAAATATCGAACTTTTTAAAAGGAAAATTTTGTAATTATTTTAAATATCGAAAAAAAAACCCCCAAATACAAATCGATTTTAGAAACAAATTTTTGCGTTGTTACCCAGGCCTACTCGACCCCATCCATTATCCGTTCCCTTTTTCCTACTTTCCTATACCTCACAATTGTTCCCACACTATCACTGTAAATTAATAAACTTAATAAAAATATTATTAAAAAAAAGACTCTGTTTTGGCTATTGAACTTTTGCAACTTTACTTCTATGTTTTGGATTTTGCTTTTTCCTCAATAAACTACAAAACCTATAGCCTTGGTGTGTGGTGGTGTCTTGAACAAGGTGAATCTATCCTGAGTTGCGACAGTTTGTAACTCAGGGACTGCCTGTACTTCCATTTTATTTATGCTTGAAACCTTTCTCCTGCTTTTTCTAATTGCAGAGTCCGGGAAACCAAACCTCAGTGGATACGGAGGGATCACTGAAACGCCTTTTGATCATCGGCATCACAGTCCATAATCTTGTGGTTTGTTTGGGCGCTGTATGTGACAAATGTTTCTTCAAGGGAGAGCAAGAGAGGAAAGCCAACAAGTTTGTTATCTGTAGTGACAGGAGGGGGCTCTTATAGAGGAGCTTGCGGTAACGTC